CCTATCAACAAAGCCGAATCAAGCTGACGAGGTCGAGAGATCCAAGGCGCGACTTGTAGACAAGGGTTTTTCGCAGAAGTATGGCATCGACCATGAAGAAACGTATGCTCCGGTGGACAAATTCCCGTCGGCTCGGATCCTGCTCAGTCTATCCGCCAACTACAAGTTTAAGGTGCTCCAAAGTGACGTCAAGACAGCTTTCCTCAACGGACTACTGACGAAGATACCTACATTGCGCGTCCCGAGTAGCATACATCAACGAATTCAATCCGGACTACGTCTGTCAGCTCAAGCGCTCTCTATACGGTTTGACGCACTTTCCACGCATGTGAAATCAAACCATTGACAAGTTCATGCTCGAAATGGGGTTTAAGACGTACAAGTCCGATCACTACATGTACGCCAAGTAGGACGGAGAAGACATGCAAGTTTTGCGGCACTTTACGTAGATGATTTGGTACTGGCATGCAACTTCGACAAGATGCTCCGAATGACAAAGGAGGCGCTATGCGAGCGATTTAAGATGACGGACCTCGGTCGGCTGTAATGCTTTTTGGGCATACAGATTGATCAAGATGCCATCAGTGGAAATGTTTTCGCTCGTCAAACTGATTTTTCCACAGATATACTGGAGAGGTTCGGCATGGAAATCAGTAACCCCGTCAAAACGCCGCAAGATTTCGGACTCAAGTTGACCAAGACATGCTCGAAGGCGGATGTAACCATGAACCGATCATAGCACATTTCCCGTACCGCGATGCTGTCGGCTGCCTCATGTATTGTTGAGGGTTGACGTAAGGCGAAGGGAAAACGAAGCGGAGAGACCGGAGCGAATGGAGCGAAGAACACCTACTCACTTGAGAAAAGATTCGAAATTGGTTGATTTATAGCTCTTAACTCTGCCTACCTTATGCTGCATCCAAGCACATGGCGCATCTACTCAACAAAGTTTGCACGTCCGATCATCCTACGCGTCTAATCAATACGTGACGTCATCGAGGTGACGTCATAGGTTCACCGTAATGACGCGAGGTCGGATTGGCCAGGTTAACCGGTACGCAGTACAAAGCACGTCAACCGGTAACCCTCAATGCGCTCCTGGTTGATAGGTGCGAATCTTGACTACCGAAACTGAGAAGGATGCTGGATGTCCACTCGGAAGACCGGAGAAGACACTTGGGCAGTTGATGGAAGATTGGAAAGTGATTGGTTATAGGAGCTTATCTGCATACGCCCTGATTTATATGTGTCCACATATAAATCAGTCGGCGCGTCTAATCACCCTACTCGTCTAATCATTTCTGCGTAATTAGCGACGTAAAAACTATCCCGTAAGAACTACACCTTAGAGTTCTGGTTGTCACGGTAACCTTCACTACCCCCCTCAATCCGAACGCGCACGGATGCCGAGCGTCGCCGTCAAGTCCTTGTGACGAGGTCCGTGAAGTCCCTTGGTCATGGTGTCCGCCAACATCACCGTCGTCTCGCAGTACTCGAGCTTCACTTCATCGCGCTTGACTTCATCGCGGATGTGACGGTACTTGATATCGATTTGCTTGTCTCGTCCATAGTTGACCGGATTCTTGGTCATCTTGATGAATAACTGGTTGTCTTCAGCAATGACAAGTTTCGGTCTAGATTCGCTTGCTGCCATCAGCTTCTCACAAAGCAAGCGATGCACCCAATTGCCTTCCTGAATGGCCAGGCTGAATGCGATGCACTCTGCCTCGCTCATCGACAGTAACACGCCTGACTGTCTCTTGCTTCCGAGATCACATGCGCGCCCCTTTATGTGAAGACATATCCTGAAGTCGACTTGCGCTCCGCATGTTTA